CCACCACAAAGACAAAGATCCCCGTGTAGCCTTAGGTAGCCTGTTAGGGCAAGTGCTGTTCGCGAGTCGAACTGTTACCGACGAAGGCCGGCACGGCTCACGAGGGGGTGGGGTGGTCAGCAAACCACGCGCGACCGCCTTTGTCTCCCCAATGGCGATGGGGTTTTTTACACCGCACCCAGGCAACTCATTTGAGGCCGAGTCGACCTAGGGGAGGCGGCAGTAGCGGTTCGGTTAAGTCGTCACCGGCGTTGGCCGTGAGCGGGAATCGAACTCGGGTGGCCTGGTTCGTCGTACAACGCGCTAACCGTGTACCCGTGTAGCCTTAACAGACTGTTGGGGCAAGTGCTGTTAGCGAGCACCTATGAAGGTACACGAGATGGTGGTGGGGTGGCCAGCACCACGCCCGGCCACCTTTGTCTCCCCTAGTGGCGATGTGTTGTTTGTTTAACACGCATCGCACTCGGTACTCATTTGAGGCCGAGTCGACCTAGGCGGAGGCCCAGGACCGGTTCAAGATAATCGGCACCGGTGTTGGCCGTGAACGGAAATCCATCTTCGTGGATCGCCTCCAGTGTTCTTTGTACACCGTGCTAATCGCTGCACCACCGCTCCCCACCCCCGCCACCGCCCCCTACAACAACACACACACACGGGGCTCGACCAATCACAATCATCCTAACGTCGCGAGTGGGGCGGGGGGGGGTGTGATTGTGCGTCGCTCGACGAGAGCGACGCGCTGATTGGCCGCGAGCCGCCTTCGCCCGCGTGGCGCTCCGCGTTGTTGCGAGGCGGCGATCGGCGGCGGGTGTCGTTGACCGGGCGAGGACCGCGCTGAGCCGGCTCCGGCTGGACGCACGAAGTGGCCCTGTGTGGAGGAGTAATTCGGGGCCGTCCATAAATGACGTCACGCGATTGTGGACGATTTTTTACCCCTCCCCCCCTCGTCACACGGCGTCACAAAAAGTCAGACCCCCTCCTCAAATATGACGTCACAAAGCTTTGCCCCCCCCCCCCCAAAAAAATGCTTAAAATCGCTTTAAACTATTGTAGTGCGTATTTAATGTGGCGCTGCACTCTGATGTTGTAGGAGAAAACATTTAAGTAGAACGTTTTGATTTAAAGCTTTCGTGACTGCAGTAATTCATATTCTTAGCTCTTTCGGTAAAGTCACGTTGAAGGGAAACAATAAAATAATAAAATATATATAAAACAATAAAAATTCTCACGACGTTTCGACCATAACACAAACGGTCGTCATCAGGTGTGTCGGTTTGTGTTATGGTCGAAACGTCGTGAGAATTTTTATTGTTTTATATATATTTTGTTATTTTATTGTTTCCCTTCAACGTGACTTTACCGAAAGAGCTAAGATTATAAGTAGAACGTGTTGTCTATATTTATTTAAAGTTGCGCATTTTGACGTGACGTCACATTTCTCAACCCCCCCCCTCGTCACACATCGTCACAAATGTCTGACCCCCCCCCCCCCCCCATAGGTGCGTGACGTCATTTATGGACGGCCCCTTAATATGCAATATCAAGACAAAGGAACCCCCTCCCCCTTCCCTCCGTTAGCCTGAACAGACTGCTGTTAGCGAGCACCTATTAAGGCCGGCAGGGTACACGAGAGGGTGGCTTGGCCAGCACTACGCCCGGCCGCCTTTGTATCCCCCAGGGGCGATGTTGACACACCGCACCAGGTACTCATTTGAGGCTGAGTCGACCTAGGGGAGGCCCAGGACGGGTTCGGATAATCGTCACTGGTGTTGCCCTTGAGCGGGAATCAAACTTGGGTCGCCGGGATCTGTCTAGCAGCGCACTAACCACTGGCACTAAGGGGTTGACAGGTGTGTTGGTATGCACTGGCAAACATGCCAGCGTTGTTCATTTACCGCGTAGCCCCGATTAGCACGGTTGGCTACGTAGGGTGCAAAGGAAGTTCCGCAAACAATACATACATGCAGTCTATAACACCGGTTATAGGTGGAGGCCTGCTTAGCTTCCGATATGTGACAAGATCGGGCGCATTTGGTCTAAAAACCATGAGTGACCACACAAAATAAAATTACGTTTGGTTTGAACTTACACCATTCTATTTGCAGCAACGGTCGAATGATAGGAAATCTAAAAAAAGTAATAAATTAAAAACAACTTTTTTTAAAAACACGCTTTTATTAAATGTACCGTACTAGTAATCAAGAACTCCACGACTCCAGGAAGTGGCCCCGAAGCTTGGCCACAACGTAAGGGGCCGTGGGCCAATTACAGCCAACGTGAGTTGAGCGTGGACAATTAGAGCCAAGCCGAAACATAACATATAAAAAAGAATGTTTAAAAATATATAAATTTTATGATAAAATATAGTATTATCATCAGTATGACATAAGTATACCAAGTTTGCAGTCGATACCACATTGGGAAGTGGGTTAAAATTGAGTTACAAGATTTGAGGATACAACAACAAGAGTGAGTTAAATGAAAGCGTGTTAACAAATGACCGTCGCTACGAGACGAACAACATCAACAGAAGTTTGTAGCGCCACCTAATGGACAGAGAAGAGGCGATTGAATCCAAATCGTCATGAGCACGTGCACATTTCTAAATTGGGATAACGCACAGCGGGCTTCGCTAACCTACTGCGGACACTCTGCCAAGACCCTCCTGCAAAAAGTGTCTTGAGACTCAATGGAGGCTTTCCTGGGCATGCTAGCATTGTACAGAATCTGACTTTATTTTTTTATACTGGAAGAATCCGATGAGCCATCAAGCTCTTTTTTCACACTGTCCAGTAAGGGGGCGAGTCAGAACGTGACAACAAACAGGTACAACAACAACACGATAGAAGTGTAAAGTATCAGGAAGGATCAAGCAAATCACGAAGGCGCCGTGGTTCACAGACAAAGCCTGCAGTGGTGTCGCGGTAAGGGGGCGAAGTGGCCACGCGGTTTTTTTTCCCCCAATTTGAGTCATTTGCGGCGTTTTTTTTAATTTGGCAAATTCGGGATCACGTGGCTGACGACACAATGGCTCGGCTCTTCTTCGAATGACGTCACGGTACATGTATAACGTCAAATGTGAACCAGACGGTGCCAAGTGCGGTACGGGGTTTTTTTGTCGTTTGCGATGTTAATCGGAGGGGGGGGGGAACCAACCACGGACACACGACCGCTTAGTCAATCATCCTCCAGAAGCTGTTCTCTAACGCGAAGTGATTGTTCCACGGGCTCGCCGTGAGAGCATCGAATGCAGTGTTTTTAACGTCTCACGATTTGATAACGATGGCACAATTGGAAAAAAAGATGTTTTACGGGGTGAGACGACAATTGGAAGACCTTAAGTGGAAGAAGATGAACACCAATGAAGATGCGTCCTGCGCAAGTGTGAAAGCCCACTTTTGTTAACGATCAATGTAACAGGACACCCACTGGCCCACAAAGTGATACTAATTTTATGGACCCAACGTGATGATAAGCTGAGCCGACCCCCGACCTGTATTGTAAGGGGCCGTCCATAAATGACGTCACGCACCTGGGGGGGGGGGGTCAGACATTTGTGACGATGTTTGACGAGGGGGGGGGGGGGTTGAGAAATGTGACGTCACATCAAAATGCGCAACTTTAAATAAATATAGACAACACGTTCTACTTAATTAAATAGACTTTTTAATAAATGTTTTCTCCCACAACATCAGAGTGCAGCGGCACATTAAATACACACTACAATGACAATAGTTTTAAGCGATTTGAAGCATGTTTTATTTTGGGGGGGGGGGGGGATAGAGCTTTGTGACGTCATATTTGTGACCCCGTGTGACAAGGGGGGGGTCAAAAAATCATCAAAAATCGCGCGACGTCATTTATGGACGACCCCTAAGCCGAGTTTTATTAACAGCCATCATTATAATCACCATTAGTCTTGATCTATCCACGGGTGGATGAAGGCTTCCCACAAAACCGTCGCCATCACGATTCTTGCGTGCAATAATAAGCTTGCTCCTTCCTACGCACTTGCCGATCTTATCGCTCCATCTCCTCGGTGTATGAACGTTGTCGCGCGTTGCTTCCCACCCCCTTCAACCCGCACTGGGCAGCGTGGTGAAGTATGGTCACACAACCCTCCCCCTCCCTCCGCATGACACCAAAACGGGTTCAAGAGGGCTCTCAAACGGGCAGTGTATTGACAAAGGTGGCGAGATGTTAACTTCCTCGCTTGATATACAGGATGTCGTGGGTTCGATCCCGACCCTGATGCCTATTGTGTATTTGTAGTTTGAATGTTCTCCCCGTGGTCGCGTGGGTTTTTCTCCGGGTTTTCCTTCCACATTAAAAAACACGTGCGCGTGGAGCATTTGGCTGCTAATAAAGTATTAAAGCTTTCGTGACTGCATAAAATTACCCATTGTTTTTTTTCGGTAAAGTCACGTGTGTAGAAATACAATAAAATTATATTAAAGCAAAAAAAAGAATCACGACGTTTCGATCACAACGCAAGCGATCTTCACCAGGTGTCAAGAACAAATCACGGAGGTAAATACAACAAAACTATGAGAGACAAGAATTCAACAAACCTGTATTTCTACATACGTGACTTTACCGAAAAAACCAATGAGCATTTGGCTGCTGTCGTAAATGTCCGCATGATAAGCCACTTCGTTGAGCTTTCATTTGTGGCCAGGTCGCTTCTGAAAAAGAGCCATATAGCTCAGTGGGCTTACCTGGTTAAGAAAAATAGTGTTTTCAAAACGGTTGTGCTTCTTCATATTTACTATGGAGAAAGACCATTGCCCGAAACGTCGTCCATTACATATTTCTCTGAAAGCCACCGAGTGCTGCTGTATTGACTTATATATGTTGAGTATTGGTGTTGTTGTTGTTGTGAGTGATGCTGCCATCAGCAGCAGCAGCATCACCAAATAATTAGCTTTAATTGTTACTGCGACTGCTGTATCGTTATCATGTTTCTTGAGCAGTGAGACACAGAGGGGCAGCAAAAACGCAAGTAGCCCGTGTAGAGCGAGCAGTGGTGATGCATTATTCATACACACGGCGGCTGTCATCCCTATTGGAGACTAGAGATGAAAGCGGCGTGGGAAGGCATCCACTCATTTGCTCATTGCATTGCGCCGTGGTGGTGATGATGATGATGATAAAATATAAGAGGTGAGTTTTTGGAAGGAGGTAAAAATTGTGTGTCCGGTGTCTTGGGGAGAGAGAGTGAGAGTGTGCGTGCGTGCGTGCATCAGTAAATTACCAGGGTACAAATATACAGTATATATCGACTGTACGTGTACTGTTATATATTAAGACACAATTTTCCTTGTCAAGGATCAAGCGGTTGTTTTGCAACGATGAAAGTTACGCTCATATTTGTGTCCCTGTTATGCACCCTCTGCTTTATGACTGACGGTGCTGTCATCACTGGGGTAAGTTTCTTACTCTTGCTCTTCATGATAATGACACGTGCTTGTTGCATGCAGGAAATGGGGAGCGGTGACGAATGTCTGAACTTGCCCTGGGTCTCTCCTAGATCGACTCAGTCTTAAATGCGTACCTGAACCGCATCAGGCCACCGGGAGTGATGATGGCCATCGTGTGCTATACCGGCCTTCATAGGTGCTCGCTAACAGCACTTGCCCCAACTGTCTCTTAAAGGATATGTGGTAGATCTATGACTTTGTTTGCATTGAGTATTCACTTCGATGTGCGTGCATGTAACTCCACCGTCTGAAATATCAAACCCTTTAAATATGCAGCTGCTGCATTGATTCTCACTTGAACCTTTGCACTCTCTTACAACAACGTCTAAATAATTTAGAACCAAAGGATAGTTTTTTTTTCTACCACAAACAACTTGGTTCTCTTTATCTACCGGCCACCGGATTTGCTGCTTCCACCATGGTGCGTGTAACCGCATTATGGTGATGTCATTTACTTTATAAATACAGTGAGCCATCGTAAATACATTCCTTGTAAAGCACGCCGCCGCCGCGTTACAGTGTCATTCCACGTGCTGTAGCGCTCCGCTCAGACGCGCACTTAAATACAAGTAGTTCGTTGTCCAGCGCTCAGGAGCCACGTTATAGCGGTACGCGTTCCGCGTTATAACGGGGTGCTTTCCAACGGGCGCGTTCCTCCTTGTAACGGCCGCGTTTTGCGTTGTGCGAAAATGTTCCCGAATGGAAGGACCGCGTTATAGCGAAAACACGCCGTGTGAACACGCGTTAATCGAGGACTTACCGTACCCACAAGTCGTAGATTTAAATAGTCCGGTATTTTTAAAAGAGAGACACTATTTTAATCACTGTAACCTTTAGACTGAAGCTAGTTCCTTTGTCACTATCAATACAGAGGGACCCGCAGTGGTCATAGTTCATTCTGGAAGTGTTTGCTGAGAAATTATCGTCAAACTTATCTGCGTTCAGATATCACTCGCCAATGTTAGCCGTGGGCCAGTAACCAAACTCGGGTCCCTAGGTTCATGGCGCAGTGCGCCACCCGTTCCCCAGTCCACCACCGCTGAGCAGCCTTGCGAAAGTAATGGTCAAACAACCCCTCTATGAAGCGACACGGAGCCGACAGGCCTTCTTCGTCCAGCAGTGGATTCACAAAAACGCTGGAACATTATGTTTATTATTATTTGGTCTATATCTAATTCAAGCGGTCGCGACCTTATGCGCACTTCACAATTTACAATGTTGCGTGTTGAGAGTTCAGCTTAGGTTTAGAGAATGCTGCATCATGCACAGCACTTCACAACCACGGAACAATATCGCCTCTCTTCTTCCATCCGATAACTACTCCCTCACAATTATATTCCTGCATTAACCTCGATTCATCGTTTGGAAAATCTAAACGTCTATTTGTTTTTATAATTGCATTCGAAATTAGTCCTCTTGTTTAGATTGCCGATTTGTGAAAATATAATTACCATTACAAATTTTGCATTATATCACGTACAATGTTAAGGGTTTATTGTTGAAATGTAAATGTTTTGCAACAGCTGTGTTGCACTGCCTGCTTTATATTAGTGGCATTTCTAACCAAGTCTCCCAAGTTTCAATGGGTCTCACCTGGTAATTAATAAACGAGTCTTTTCTCTCTGAGCACCTTAGCTTCTGGATACACTAGTGGGCTTCTCGGTGTGTCTTAGGCTGCTGAGTGCACTCTATGTTTTGGCGGCTGGGTGTGCCACGTGTCAGAGATAACCGGGTGTCGCGTCTACTGTTGCTGGATGTAACGAGTACTGTGTACAAATTATGTTGAGTATATTACGTGTTGGCTTTTCTGAGAATTGCCATGTGCTGGGAATTGCGTGTCCTATATGTCACCAGCTGGCTGTGCAGGTGTACTGGGTCTACAATTTCTGGGTGCTCGGTGTGCAGTGTGTTGCCTGCTGACAGTGATGGTTGCACTGGCTGCTATCTGGTGTCAGTGTATTGGGTGCGTTACGCATTGAACATTGGCTGCTGGGTATGTTATGTTATCAGCTGCTGAGTGTGCCGAGTGTGCCTTGTTAGATGTTGGTGAGTATGTCATCTGCTCAGTGTTACTCTGTGGTGGCAGCTGGGTATGCTAGGTGCAGGGCGCTGGGTGTGCTATGTTTCCTGTTGGGGCAGGACGCTGGGTGTGCTTTGCGTTGGCTGCTGGGTGTGCGGGTAAACTGGGTGTCAGGTGTGTTCAATGCTGGATACTGGGTGTGCTGGGTACAGATATATATATACACTGGAGGCGCTGTGATGGATCGTTGTGTATTGTGTGAGAAATCATTGGTGCTGTGGGTGGATTGACTACCGGGTCTGTTGTGTGCTGGGTGTACTATCTGCTGGGTGTGTGCAGGTCGACTCAGCCTCAAATGAGTACCTTGTGCCGTGTGTAAAAACATCGCCACTTGGGAGACGAAAACGGCCGGGCGTGGTGCTGGCCACCCACCCCCTCGTGTGCCATGACGGACCCTTCATAGGTGCTACTCGCTAACAGCACTTTCCCTAACAGTCTGTTAAGGCTACACGAGCCGGGCGGGGGAATATTTGCCTTTGGTTGAATTACAGGAGGTTGTGGGTTCTATCCCGACCCTGACACCGGTGGTATATTTGGAGTCGACGTGGCTCTCTCCCCGTGCCCCCGTGGATTTTTCTCCGGGTCCTCCGGGTTTTTCCTCCACATTTAGAAACATGCATTTCGAGTATTTGGCTGCGATAACATCCACACGATAAGCCACTTCGTTGAGCTTTCATTTTATTCTGAAAAAGAGCTATATAACCCAGTGGGCCTTACTTGGTAAGATAAAAAATATATACTTTAGTATACTGTACATTTTAGGTGCTACTCGCTAATGGCACTTGCCCCAACAGTCTGTTACGGCTATACGGTGGGTGATCTTTGTCTTTGCTGTGGGGCTGGCTGAGCTGGCTGGCGGGATTGGTGGTTTATGGGCCATCCATTTAGTCCGTACGCATGGAGGGGGGAGTGGGGTGTTAACCCAAATGCGTCCGCTTGCAACGTATGGGGGGTCTCCTGACAATGTACGTACGCATGGATTAAATATCGGCCGTTCTATAGGATTCGGGGAGGGGGGGGGGTGTACGGACTTAAATGTATGTCCCCTTATGCTACGCGCTGCGTGCCTGTCGCGCGCGTGCTGTGTGGTGCAGGCGTGCGAGAGAGACTCGCAGTGTCCCGCTGGGACGTGCTGTGCAGCCAGCCTGTGGCTGCGGGGACTTCGCACGTGCACGCCGCTGGGGGGCAGGCAGGACCTGTGCCACCCGTACAGCCACAAGGTGACGATACTCAACCTCCCCCACCACCGTGGCCACCCACCCATCCCTGCTCTCGCTAGCTCCGTCACGTATTCGCACTCATTTGCATTTTGTTCCGACCCTCCCCACTGCCATCACACCTTGTGAAAGACCACCGAATCTACTGCGCAAACCGTGGCAGATGCGGATACCCTGATGCACAACATGCCAAATTAAGTGTGCGACTTGTGGTCATCCGGAACAGACCGTACAACGTATAAGGACGCAATGCCCGATCCGCAAATACGAAGGAGACATCAACAGCGATGCACTCCACTGCTCCTGACGCGGTTGTCTGGCTTGGCCACCTGGGTGTGAAATTGTCGTTGTTGTTCTGCATCTTACATCAGCCATACGAAAGCTCATCATCATCATCATCACTGTCGTACACAAAGATCTCCCAAATAGCATTTTTATAGACTTTTTGGGGCAAGTGCTGTTAGCGAGCACCTATTAAGGCCGGCATGGAACACGAGGAAGTGGGTGCCCTAACCGGCTACCCCACGCCCAGATTGCCATTATAATTATCATCACCATAAAATCACTGTCATTATTACGACCTTCATGTGGTGCAATTCGCGTTATGGGATGCAATTAGCATGAATGACGCGAAATAAAAAGAAAGTATTATATTTTTTATCATTACTGCCACATTTCTTCGACAAATATACAAATGTATAGGGGGGCCTAAGCCTTCAGAAAGGAATGGAGGGGGGGACGGGGTGAGGGGTTTGGCCCCCTCTGGCCCCCCAATGCAGCGGGACTGCCCGCATGCACAGCTCAGTATTGAAAAGCAATTCTAACACTTTCTGTAAGTGACGAGGCATTCATCAGACAGGAGAGCGTCAGGGTAATCGTGCACACAGGTGGTGGTTTCCAGACCATTGCCTCGGTCCTCCCATCATCCAGAGCATGTCACAGCAGTCGGCAGTGATGGATATACTTGCACTGATGATTCCTAAACAAGGGTGAAACCAGCGGAGTCGCCTCATTACTTTTCCCCCCGTGTAGCCCCCAAACTCTGGAACTCTACCTCCTCCGAGATGTCTTGCAAGACATTTTTGTTTAAAGCTGGTCTTCAAACGTATTTAAAATTTTCGCGAATTCGGCAAAATGGGTTATTATTTTTGTTGTCCGTGTCATAGTTTTTCGTTTCACGAGTTATTTTTTATGCCGAGTGCCTGCTTCTGTCCTGAACAGTGCTTTGAGGTCTGCAATGCAAGGGGATTCATGTATCGAACATTATTGCTGCTGTCAAAATGGGAACACTTTTTGTTACTATTTGTGGTCTAAATGTATATGCGGCTTGATGATATCATATGCCACACCAGGCATGATCATATTTTCGGCTGTAAATAAACTATCTGTTGTGGTGTCGTATTATATTTACTTGCACTGCTCAGCTCCTGAACATATTGACATCAACCTGGATATAATTGCATCATTAAGCAGGACCCTCTTGAAAAGAGTTAAGACTCAATGACTCTTTCCTGGGTAAAATAAAGGCCATTATTATTTCTATTTACTGCATAGTCCATTATACTTTTCTCGGCCAATTACCCCTGTCATATTTCAACTACAATTTTTCTAAATCACATATTCATGCGATGAAGTTAACATATGAAATACATCATAAGCACAAATTGCTAAATTCTCACCGCTTTCGTCATTAAACACCGCCTTGTAACAGGGGAAAAACTCCGCATGTAAGGCAGGGTTAATGATGAGGGTGGTTTTTTTTAATTTATTTTCTTTTTACAGCACTGCTAACGCGGCTTCCCGATTTTTTATTTAGATTATAGCGTTAATTAGAGCATTCATATAAACAATATTGCTTAACACAGCTCTTTCCAGCTCAGGCCAATTTGTCTCATATATATAACAAAAAATGTTTCCCTGTCAACAACCCTATAGCCTCGTAAAAGGGGTTAGGTGTTCGCGAACACCTGGAAGCCTTTTCCACGCGAACGCCTTTTGATAATTTCACGTGGGATGCGATGATGAGAGTTTTTTTAATCTTGATTTCATTTTAAGAACGTCAAGTATCCCTTGCCCCTGAAAGTACTGCAAACAGATACGATCAATTTAACACCCTTTCGAGACCAATATTATTCATACGTGTTTTTGGGTTAGATCGCGGAAATATAAATGTGTCGTCAACCCACCACCATCCGACACAGCCAATTAGTAAGGTTTGTCACGTGAACAAAAACTCTGGCAGACCGCCTGATGAAGCTGGTTGTAATCGCCAGCGAAACGTCGTACTCAAATTGCAATTCTTATATGTTTACTCTCCATCATACCGATGTACTGAAGTAGTGACTAACTGTCACGTTTCATATTTACGCGATCCAATCCCAAAAAAGTCTACCATTAATATAATGGCAAATAAACTCAAGTTCACTTTACCAATCAATCTGGGAGATCGTTGAACTTCTTTCGCACCGCACACAGCCATCGGTGCTGACCTGAGTTTCGGGCGGCCCGGGGGGGGGGGGTGTAAGGACAACAACAACGACGAAGTAAAATACCAAAAGTCAGACGCTTCGACATTTGGTGAATTCTCACGACGACACACCCCCGGGGCTGGAAACACGGGAGCATGTGCCACGCAACGGGAGGCCCGCACACACCACGGGAAATGTCTGTTGCCTGCCTTTCCTCCGCAAAGTCAGGTGACATGACGATGTTGCTGCTGCAACTTTGCGACGTCGCTTTCCGTGAGCGTCGCAGGTGCCGTACTGGGGCCGACGCCGGCACTACGTGTGTCCCTGCCTGCCGAGCCTCGCGTGCGTCCGCTCTCCGCCGGTGACCGGCCGCCACCGCTGCTCCTCCAGCTTCAGCATCATCGAGGGCCTCATCTACAACTGACGAAGCGTCGACCGTGGCGCGACTTAGCGGACAGCGGCTTGCGCAGCGCACGAACGCCACAGAGCACTTCACTATGACCGACATCGCCAGCCATCGCCTTTGCGACGGCTGATCATGAACCACTCAACTACATATGTTACATCTACGGCTCAGTTGTCAATCCACCGCTGGATGAGAGGCTCCCCACACCATACGCGCCGTGACAATGCACGTAGGTACAATGTTGAACTTCTTTCGCACCGCGCGTAGCCGACCGTGCTGCTCGGAGTTGCGGGGGTTAGGACAACAGAACTGAACACGCAGAAAAGCAGTTCAGTTGTCCATACTTCACCATCGCTGGTCAGCGGAGGGTTTGGCGAAGGAGGGGGAGCAGAGGAGCACATCTAGCGCAACACACGAAATTTATTTTACTTCTCTGCCCTCCGCTGCCCAAAACATAAAACCCTGCAGACTATAACACCGGTTATGCGTGGCGGTCGCCCATCCAAGGCACTGGATCGTGGCTCAAAAGACCTGCTGAGCTTGTAAGAACTGATGAGATCAGGTGTATTGTGAGTGATTTAATCGTGTGCCCTCCAAATGTTCAATATTTATGAAGCCCTACATGAGCAAAGCACGCCACACTGGCTCATTATGCGACTAAGCAATGAACGGAGTCGGTACAAGGGTCCGGTCATGTGCAGTTCAGTCACCTGTCGAGTCCATACAGGTTTATAGTCAAATGGTGAAGTGGAAACTAAAATATAAAGCCATTTAAAGCCTCATTGTTAGCCCTGGTCTATATATACATTTATATGCACGGTGCGTTTGCGTGTATGCGGTAATCGTGGAGCGAATTATATAAGCATTGCCGCTGCTTTACGATGTCGAGTATTTGCTGCCAGTGGTGTGGTTGTTGTGGGACTCAACACTTCGCAAGTGCGATCACCTTCCAAGGCGTCATCGCCTGTCACAAGGCGTTGATGCCATCGCACCTCAACGCCAACTCTCTCCAACCCTCCCGCCTGATTCCGCAGCCGCTGCCCCATTGGCGACCTTCGAGATCAGGCCTCTCCCAGCCTCCCACCGCCCGCTCTGAGGTGTCCCACCCCCCGCCTCGGTCGCCGGACTGAGGCCACTCCGATGCTACGGCCGTCTCTGTGTCGGCCCTCCTCGATCCTGGACATGCTCCACCCAGCACAACCTTTTCTGTTGTTGTTGCTTAATGCTATCGAAAGGCTTATCTCCGATGTTGTCATTCGGGACTTTCCGCATTGCTTACTGCTGTATAACAGTAAACAATGATGGGCGCCACGGTGGCGAGATGTTGACTACCTCGCCTGGTACGCAGGAGGTCGTGGGTTCTATCCCGACCCTGACGCCTGCTGCTGTATATTTGGAGTCTGCGTGTCTCTCGCCCCGTGCCCGCGTGGATTTTTCTCCGGGTCCTCCGGTTTTTCCCTCCATATTTAGAAACGTGCGTTTCGAGTATTTGGCTGCTATAAATTTCCACGTGATGAGCCACTTCGTTGAGCTATCATTTGTGGCCAGGTCACTTCTGAATAAGAGCTGTATAGCTCAAGTGGGCCTTACCTGGTAAAATAAAAAAAATACATTTGTAGTTTATACTGTGGTTTAGTAAATGCATGAAGGAACTACATACACATTGTATCTGAATATTCAGACATGGGTCACCCCAAACAAGGTAACGCGTCTACAGGAGGCACAAGTACAGCCTTTAAAAAAGAAAATCAATCCACTGTTGAATGAGTGCCTCTCCACACCGTGAGGGTTGTTTGACCATGCTTCACCACTTTGGTCAGTGCCGCGAACCTAGTTCGATTCCCGCTCACGGCCACCAACACCAGTGACGATTATCCAAAGCAGTCCTGGGCTCCCACCTAGGTCGACGCAGCCTCAAACGAGTAAGTTGTGTCTGAACGTCGCCACTGGGGAGACAAAGGCGGCAGGGGCAAGGTGGAGACCACCCCACCCCACCCTCGCGTGCGGTGCCGGCCTTCATAGGTGGATCTCGCTCACGGAACTTGCCCCAACAGTCTGTTAAGGCTATACGGGAGATCTTTGTCTTTGGAGCACAGGACAGTACAAGAATCACACTGCCCTCTGCTGACGACCGCGTGGCCTCGCAGCCACCTTCTGAGTGACCCATCCGGGCCCTATCCAGCCTCAACTCTGCTTTATCTTAATCTGCCCTCCGAGCAATGAATCACCCGGAATCTTGCCACGTATATACCGTGAGCACAGCAGTAAATAAATGTTTCCTTGAACCCATTTAATAGGTTGAAGGGTACTTTGCATGCATTACCGATGTGCTTGTAAATAAGACTATGACCGGAGCACGCGACCTCCTGGCATGATTTCGTTTTGCAGCGACGACGACGACCGACAAACAAAACAACAAATCTCACGCGTGCCGGAAATATTGAATTTGTGCAAATTATACACCGAGAAAGTCGCATCTGCATGCTGCGCGCAGCCTCGGGCAAGGGACACGCGTGGACGTGAATGCAGCCTCCTTGCGTCTGGAACGCAACAAAGACAAAGGTCCCATCCCCCCAGTGTAGACTCAACAGACTCTTGGGGCAAGTGCTGTGAGCGAGCAGCTATAGAGGCCGGAGCGGCATACGAGGGGATGGGTGGCCGGCAACCACGCCCGACCGACCGCATTTGTCTCAACCAGTGGCGATGTCTACACACCGCACCAGGTATAGTTACTTGAGGTCGGGTCGACGTAGGAGAGGTCAAGGACCGGTTCAGATAATCGTCACGGGTGCTGGTCATGCGCGGAAATCGAATTCGGGTGGCCAGGTTCGTAGGGCCGTGCGCTAACCACTACGATGAATGCACACCCTCCACTCCCCAAAGATCCCCCATGTAACCCTTCACAGACTTAGGACAAGTGCTGTTAGCGAGCACCTATGAAGGCCGGCACGGTACACGAGGGGGTGGGTGACCAACACCACGCCCGACCAACCAGCGGCGATGTTTTCACACCGCACCAGGTACTCATTTGGGGCTGAGTCGACATAGGGGAGGTCCAGGACCCGGTTCAGATAATCGTCACTGGTGTTGGCAGTGAGCGAGAGTCGAACTCGGGTCGCCGGGTTCGTAGGGCAGCGCAAACCCGCCCTCCACCTCCCCAGGCACAACCTGCCGATTCATCCATTCATTAATTTACCTTTGAACATGTCGATAATTCTCCACGAGCAAACGTCCGCTCGGGAACGATTACATTTGCATCAGAGCGAGCTATTCGCGTGGTTTCATATTTTTGTTTGTTTGCTTTTAAAACATATTTTAAAGAGGTGAACACGATATGCAGAATATATGCGTCGTGACCCCGTGAAGCGTGCACTCCGTGTGTGTGTACGCATACGGCTTGCCACCGGAATATAACAGTTGACAGGCTTCATATTGATCATTTCCGTGGAGGGAGCAACTCCACGATAATCCACTTTGTTGAGTTATCATTTGTGGCCAGGTAGCTTCTGTAAAACAGGTCAATAGCTCAGTGGGCTTTACCTGGTAAGATTTAAAAAAAAACAATAGTTTAGTTTAATTTGTATATATTTTTAAGTGGGTTGTTTACCTTTCCTATACTTTGCTATCCTATCGTGTTTTTGTATTGTCTGTTGTTTTAACGATATGACCCGCCCCGCCTGGACATCTATGAAAAATAGCTTTATATAGCTCATGGGATACTTCCAGTATAAATATTCTGATTGGAAAGCCGCATTGAGTCTCAAGACTATTTTTCAAGAGGGTCTTGCCGTGTGTTCGCAGTCGGCAACGATGCCCGCTGTGCGTAATCCCAATTGAGTAATTTGTGGGGTTTGTATTTTGGTTGTCTCGGTGTGCCAGCACACACTGGGCCTATACTCTTCGAAGCACACGGCGGGTTAATGTCACGGTTAATATAACCCGCAGTGATAACCAGGGCGCCCGGTGGATTCAAACCTTGAACCTCAGCCACAGGCCGCAATACCGCTTGGCGAAGGGGGTCGCCATCCAAAATAACAAGAAGGGCCATTTTTCGAATTCGGTAAAAAAAACCCTCATTATTTCAAGAGTCGCAACACACCACGTGGTGAATACGAGACGGTGATGGTTCCTTAATCAATAACGGCACGAAGCCTATACCAATACCCGGCATTCGCCACCAAGTGACGGTGACGTCACCAAGGCGTCTGTGCCAGGCCAGGTGCACTTAAGAGGCCACGTGAAGTGTCGACGGCTCGCTGACAGGAGGTCTCGGGATAGACCCAGGTGCCATGGGTCGGCTGACTGAGATTACCGGTAGATGCACCAGCTGTAACCCCCCCCCCCACCCCCTACTGTGCCAACTTGCTCAATTTTAGACGTCCGACGCTCCGCTCGTTGTTGTGAGCGTCGCTCGTGTGCCCTCCCGTTTATGCTGGAGGGCGACTGCCTCCGAGAACTGGCCAGCGAGCCACTTAAAGAGCCGCACGCGGCTCCGTAGCCGCGGGTTGCCGACCCCTGCGCGATGTCGAGTCACCGCCCCAGTGCGTAAGTTGCGAAAGTGCAAAATTAAAGCGAGACCGCGGTGGACTGACGGCCGGTGACCAAATCAAACGGAAAGTGCGAGTCCTCGTCAACACCAGGAAAGCTAAGCAGGTTCGAACCTGGATAGCGCGCGGATGTGCACCCCTTGATTAGCACGGTTGGCTACGTAGGGTGCGAAAAGAATGTGAACACGCGTTCGTACGGTACATACATGAGCGACCAACAAGCGATGCACAACCAGGGTGCGTCTTGGGCAGCTGCGGTGCTATGCAACGTGATGGGCAGCAGAGGGCAGTGCGGTAGAGTCCCCACTCGCGTGCTGTACCGTTACGCTACCTGCCCAGCGCTAACTAACCAAGCCAGCACGGTTTACGCATGAGCAAATCACCCCCCCCCCCCCCCACAGCGTGGGGAGCACCTCATCCAGCAGTGGATAAACAAAATGCAACCCGTACCACGTACGCATTTACCAATGACGTAGCCCAACTCTCAAACGTTGAAATGTACTCACGAACTAAATTGGATCGAACTAAAATGTCCACATTTCAACTTTCAAGAGATCACGACGGGTGATGATGCGTTATCGATGATCCTTTGCTTCACTTGGCGAGGGAGCTTTGAGATGCGTCGTGTTTGAGATGCTTCGTGTCTTTGCAAGGGCAATGCTGGACAGTGTTGTTCTGCACAATACAGCGTACTTCAAAAAACATGTGAACACTTCTGAGAATTTGTAACAGTACCGCAATAACTGTGCTGCTGCCTCCAGGCTCTGGAGACCACCTTGAGAAGATCCCAGGCCACGTGTTGACAACGATGTCGAACAAGTGGAGACTGACTTGTTGACGATATTAACATACATTTGTTATCACGTAACGTTCTTTTTTCATAAAAAAAAACGTGAGTCCCATGTAAGTGTGAACATTTTTCTTAAAACACCCTGTACATGTAGACGTTTTTGTGGGTTAGATCGCGTCAATATAAATGTGTCGTTCAGCCCGCCACCACCCGACACAGCCAATTAGTAAGGTTTGTCGCGTAAACAAAACGTGCCAATTCGTTCCTAGTACAGCACACCGGTGTGTTGGAGAGTAAACCCAACAATAATTTACAATTCGAGTCCCGTGACGTTTTGCTGGTGCGTTGGCCGGCTTAACGATTTGACCCAAAACACCTCTATTGTGGATATTGGTCGCGAAAGAACTACGTGTTTCAAACAGTGTTGGTCTGCATATCCCACGTCTGTATTTCTATCCCACGTCTGTGCTCCCCGCCACCCCACCGCCCACGGACAGAACGTCCATGGGCATGCGAGACGAACCCTACAAGAGTGAAAAAAAATAACTACGAAAAAAAAACACCCAACACGCCCATTTCATTGAATACGACACTTGCGGCTCGTTTTGTTCCGCCTACAAAAGTATCACGTAGTGGAGAAAAAAAGAATCTATCGCCTGGAAATTTAATAGCGACTGAAAATTACCCGGATCAAGTCTGTGGATGCAACTGTAGGTTCTAATTGAGAGATTCACCCTCACCCATTCTTCGATAGAGCTGCGTTAATGGATTTCGCGAGCCAGTCCACTTAAGGCGCGCTTCTCATATAATATACGAGGTGTTGGGGCGTAAGGTGGCCAATGTTGAGTTTAAAGCGAGCCACGTGGCTTTGGGATTTTTGAACGATTTAAACATTACACGCGCGCCACGTTCTGCGGCGTCGCCTAAAGCAAGCGCCGTAATAACAGACGCAACGGGTGTCGAGATCATATTACCCCACCCCCCCGCCCTCCCGTGGGGAGGGGGGGGGTGCGAACCGTCCGTC